TAAAAATATTTGTCTTACACAAATAAGAGAAATTTCCATTCAAATATTCATAGTTTAATTAGATTTCCCATTTCTAAGGCTATGAGGAACGGAGTAGTTAACTTTTGTATTAAATTTCAATAGTTTTCTTCAAATATAAAGCCCAATACAACATAACAGTATCACAGAATAATACAACAGATAGGTTTTAGTATAAAATACCTATAAACACAACGTTTTGGATGTCTCAAAACTTCATACATAGTAATTCAGATAAAAAATTCGACAAATCTTGGTTTATTTATTTAAAAAAAACTACCATTACAGAATACTCCGTACTAGATTAATAATATTAAAAAAATATTTATTATTATTCTCTTACATTAAACAAATAAAACACTATTTACTTTAAAACATTTTTATTTCATATACTATTTATTTTTAAGTGACTCTAATGTCTTCATCAGAATTTCGGTTTGTAATTTTAAATTAATCATTACTTGTTTGCATCTACGACTTCTCCAAAACTACTTCTTTTGAACAAATAAGAAATATTAATTTAAGCTCTTATAAAACTTAAAATTTTTTATAATTCATATTATAAATTTTTTAACAATTTATATTAATATAATTATATAAATTTTAATAATATAATTTGTAGCACATGCTACAGACCTGGATAGCAACTTTCTTTTATTCTATTTAGAATAGAATAATTTAAAATAATACCGGTTCTTCCTTGTAGGTTTCTTTGATTGTTTGGGATTTTGTTTTCAGTTCGACATGATTTTCTTTAACCTTTCTTTAATCTACAAAATAATAAATTTTAAGTTATTTACTTTGTACACTTGTTTGCTTTTTTAGTATTCAAGTTATTCAAAACTATTTATTACTTGTATTGTTGCTTAGCTTTTGGATATAATTTTTCCAAAATGATTTTATTTGTAATAACCTGAAATATATAAATAACATCTATTAATTTAACATGGTGAGTGGTTGACTCAGGTATTAAGGTTATTATACCCACTTCCATTATAAGTGGAATGGCTCACTTCTGGAGAAAGTTTCGTACTACAATGCAAATGGATGTTTTGAGGTATTACAATATCTCTAACTACCCTGTAGGGGAATAAAGTAATTTGTAAGATATGCCTATGTTGAAAGGTTGAACCTTGAACATCACCATAATCAATTTATAATTAACATTCCTACTCGACACCATCACAATCAAATTCATTGAAATCTACTTCAAACCATTGTTCTGAGAAGTATTCTTTGTTCCACCTCCATTTTTGATTTTCAGGCGATAAGATGACAACTCTTTTTTGTATCAATTTATACTTCCACTGATTCATAATTTTTTGTCTCTCTTATATTTGCTAGATTAAATCTGATTTTTATTAAATAATTTATTTTTTAAAGTATTATAAAATTTTATTCTTTAAGTCCAAGCTTCATTTTCTCCTTAATATTGTTAAACTTTTTCTCAATATTATAATAGGGTCGTAGAATATTTTAAAAAGTTGCTGTAACAAACGCAATAAACAAAAGAATAAAATGGTTCATTTTAGTTTTAATAACAATAATACTATAATAATACGATATTAACCTCAATTTATTAAGATCAGGAAGTTAAATTTTTCACAAATATTTTATATTATTTACAAAATTTTTATAATGAAAATAACTAGGTATATAAATATTAATTTTAAACAATAATTAAAACTCCTATATTTGTTTAAAAGGTAAATTCATTGTCAGATTCAATTTCATGTATTAAAATTTTTTATTTAGAATATGGTAATTACTTCACGCATATTCTATTTCTTTTACTTTATTGTCTATTCCCATCTCCTGCATATATCAACTGCCAATTTTCAGTGCGCAATGTAAAATTATCTCATCAATTTTTCATAGTAAAGTACACTTCAAAAAATAGTGCATGGTGAAATGAAAATAGGAAGCATTCAGTATCGCTCTGTGTCTTTCTATTCCCCTTCCCCAGGAGCGTTAAATGTTTAACGCAACTTTGTTGGAGGTCGCATCAAGAAGACTAACTATTCTTACAGTATAGAAACTGCCATGAAGTCTGCTTCATGCCACTCAACTGACAATTAAACACGAATTTATTATTTCCATACATCGTGCCATGTGTGCCCTTTTCGAGAGGTTAGTTTCTGCTGAGGGTCGGTGTCGTCTCCTAACGTAACCATCAGGCACCCTAAGGCACTGTACCAGATTTCCTTTCCATGTAACGTTTTTGAATATCATACAATAAATAAAGTTATGGTGATGTGAAAGTGATAGAAAAATATTATTAATCGTTTCCAACCTGTAACATGTCAATGACTTTGCGTTGTTTTGCCATTCTAATAAATCAAACGATATCGTGTTCTCTTACATTATCTTATTACATTATCTCTGACATGTACTTAACTAACTTACTAACCTAATTACGTAGCAATATTTAGACCATCGAAATTCAATTTGAATTCAGAAAATCACGTAGTGTGTGAGTAAATTTTCCTTCGTTTCAGCATGTCAACGACCTGGAGAGGTTTGCCTATATTTCCAATACAACCGGTTCCCGCGCTCTGCATCCAAGAGCTCCACCCCCATCATCTATCCCCCTAGTAGGAGGACGTCCAACGCTCCGCTGACTAATGCTGGTCGTATAAAGTTGGATCTTTATTTATATTTAAAATGAAAGTGAAACGTTTTTAAGAAAATCGCATCTGTTGTTTATCTGTTCTATACAGAAAAGGATTTCAATTAAACAGCTGCCTGTTGCAGCGAGTATAATAACAACAATCTTTACACATAATAAAACTGAAATCTTGTATTTTAGATTACGAATCCAACTTCTTTGTCTTCGTTTACTTATTTGGATTCTCATTAATCATTTGTTAATCTAAATGTATCTTCAATGCTATAATGACCACTTATGAAGGATAAGTGTGCCTAAGAAAAAGATAATAATAATAATCTAAAGCTGTGTAAAAAGGCTTACTATAAAGTTAACGATTATCTAGTTGATAAAAGGGCCTGGGACTAGTGCTAGTCAGGCTACTTCTAATTAATTTGCGATATTTATTTTAAAATAAGTGTTGTTTGACATAGTCATTTTGTATGATGATTTCCTATTTTAAAAGAGTACCGAAGGTTTTTTACGCCCGGTATTCCTCTCGGCCTACACCCTCTGTCTTCTTTGCCGATGAGTGCCGATTCAAATTTAATGATGTGGAATAAGTGATACTTATATCTTATATTCCATAATAAACATATTTTATTTTATTTATTGTTATTTAAATTGAAAACTGTCTGGTTCTGTTACTCATAGGATTTAGGATATATATTAAAAATCATTGTGAACCAAAATTTAAACACTACTTAACCAATAACTTTTAAAAGTTGAACGAAAATTATTGTTTCGATATACGCCCAAATATTAATTCATTTTGGGTATATTTTTCCATATGTTTTTTCTCATCTTTAGGCCTTAATAATCAGACCATCAATTTGTAACTCTGAATAGCGATCTCACAGATATCTAACACATTCGGTCCATTGAAGTCCGGGTTTCAATGTAATGTTGATTGCTATGTTAACCTTAAACACACAATGCCGTCTAATCTAATGCACACATCAGGGCTACGGGTAACGAAGTTGCTTGCAAAAACGTCGGGATCGATTCAGTTTTCGCTATTAGAAGTTGCAGAGGTGCTTTTTATGATAAAGGACATGACTTTCCTGTAATGTATTCTTCATTGTACATCTATTGTTTACCCATTCAAACTCAAAATAACTTTATGCATGCAGGTAAACAAGTACACTAGTGAACGTCAAAAAGAAGTACAAATTGTAAATTTACATTTACTACCAGTTCGCAAGTCAAGGGCGTAGAGCGGGCACGAAGAACTGGCAAGAAACTTTCCCCCACTCTTTTTAATCGCTAAGTTTTGAGTCATACAAATTGTTTGAACTGAACCAAATCAATCCTAAGGATTAGGATCATTTAAATGTTCGTCAAATGTATAAAAAGCTTTATTGATTAATTTACGTTTAACGAGGAGCCTGGTTCACTCAAATTAATTCAGTTTCGCGTATTAACACTGGTGAAAGTCACTATTTGTTTTAAAATAGTTTATTTGACAAAACCAAGTTTTAACCGCTTATGATTGCAACATACGAAAATATAATAAAAACAGCTCATTATTCTCGTATCATAATATAATATTAAGCGTTGGTTTTGAAGACATGTTTATTGTTTACTCATTAGGAAGCAATTGTTTACATATTACCTGTAAAGCCTTAATTTGTCTGCGTACATCATATTATTAAACGTATCCTACTTGATAAGACGTGTTGTAGCAACTAGCAGGTAAATTTTTATATTAACATTTTTTATATAAATAGAACAAGGGCAAACGAACAAAGTTCACTTGATATTAAGCGATACCATAGACACGGCCAGAAGTCTTGATTACAATACGGCAAATAATGTTCTTGCCATTAGTACAACAAATGCACTGCTGCCACCAGAAGCGGCCCGTGATACGGCCCGTCTCGCGGCCGGCTGATCAGCACAGCACTCGTACAATAAAATAGTTTTCCTAAGCTTCTAATTTAGTAGTATACAGTTGTATTTCCAAGTTTAACGAGACGACAGATCTTTGTTTTTTTTTTTTATAGTATAAATTAACTATTAATTACTTAAAATGTCATGTGGTACATGGTGTAATGGTTGCAGCTCCTAACAAACATTGTGTAAAAAAAAACTTGGCGATTAAAAACAGTGACGGAGAGTTTATTGCCAGTTCTTCTCTTCCGTTCTACGCCCTTAATTTGAGAACTGGCAGTAAATGTAAAATTAGAAGCATTTAATATGATTTTTTTTGTCGTTCCTAATCTACACTACATTGTGTTACCTAAATTAATAAATGATTTTGATTTGATTTAAATTTTAAACTAGCGTGACGGTAGTTTCACTTACGATTAAGTCTACCCGCATTTTAGCAACAATGAACACAACATACACAGTTGGCTCATTGTTTAAATGTGAAAACATTGATACACTGATGTATAAATATGAACACGATCCTATCTGGCGGCAGACAGCTTTGGGTTGCTATGTCTTGGAAATATTGAAAGAGATGCTACAATTTAAGTAAGTATTATATTGAGTACTATCTCGTTCCACAACTGAGTGAGGGTACCACCACTATGTGAAACCAGCTATTAACCTATTTTTGAACCTATTTGACGTAGGGTTCTATAAGTAAACAGCGTACCAATACTTAAAAGGCCGGGTATTGCGATCCCTTTAGAAGTTTAAGTGGGCGGCGGTATACGTTAACATCTGGTGAGCCTCCTATACGTTTCCTGGCAGGCTGGCTCAAGCACTTCATTATTAGCGTTAAGCCTTTAATTTTTGACGGCGCTACGAAACAAACATTCACTAAGAAGAAACTTATTTAACACCTGTGACGTCACCAAACGATGGGCAAATTTTTCAATCACGAACTATAAAAATAAAATAATAAATTAATCAGAAGCGCTACCACCTATTTCGGTCTGGGCCATTGATTTCTGTATCTTTTCATGATAATTTGTCAATTTAATAAGCAAGTAGGTGATCCTCCTGTGCCGGATACACCAAGTCGACTTTTTGGGTCTAAGGCAAGCTGTTTTCGACACGATGTTTTCCTTCACCGTTTGAGCGAAAGCAGCAAGGGCTCGAACTTACCACCTCAGGAATGAGAGTGATTTCACTGTAAAATACCAGCTCCCATCTGCTTTACTTGCATTTAATATGACTATTAAAAGTAACAGAAAGAGTCCAGTATTGCTCCATTAGTAATTGACAGATTGTGTTTAACAGATCGTCATTCGCAGTTGATCCAGGTTTTTGTGATAGTATAATTATTTTTACAGCGTTACATATGCACCTAGACCTCCACCTTATATCGATGACTACGAAGTGCCATCGGCAAACAACTCAATAGACATTTACGTTCGACCTATGATGTTGAAAAGAGAGTATTTGGATGAAGGCTATCCCATAAATTCCATTTTCCAGTGGAGGTATGAATTAGTATTATTTGTGTGTCAATGTTTTTAACCCACTTAATTAACCTTTACAATAACTGCCCTGCGATTCTGTAACTCTGTCGTTTAATGTTTGGCAAATCATAAAATGACTGCTTCACGACTGACTTGAGAGCGACCGCCGATGCGAAAACCACTGTGTAAGTTCGAAAAGTGAGTTCCAGAATCGCAGGGCTGTAAACCAAAATAGTCCTCTCTCGGTAGTTTGTGGTAATGACAAGGTGATTTTATGTACAATTACTTTTATATGTCTCTGATATGACCTAACAATCTCCTATGATAGTACTATGAAAATTTCAACTCAGTCATAGAAATGAAACATCAGGCATCTGTTGAATTAACTTAAAAAAGGGTAACTGATACTTCCTTTTCATATTCTATGTTGATGATGTTTAAACGTTCTATACATATCCCACAAGTATGTTACTGAGTTTAGTAAAATTTTAGACTTAAGTGCAATGTTAATAACAAATTACGGCGCTTGGACAGCCATCCTCTTTAATGTCTTTTTTTAGTAAATGCTGAACACGTTTATGACCTTGGATTGTATACCCTGTCATTAAGTGATTACGGCACATAGCGCTGGCAATACCCGATACATAATTTAAAAAAATACATAGGACACGCAAAAAAATTTTTGATTAAGTGTAACCGTAAAAGCTGTTAAAAACAACGGACACTGACAAGAAACAAGAAAAACGTACTTGATAAAAATAATAGCTAGGACTAACCTTCTGAAAAGGGCACATATGATTCGTTGTATTAATTTAGTTAACGAATTACATAGGTTAACGGACCTTTTTCATTGTCTGAGTGGAGTCTGGCAAAAGGTCTATTATTTGTTAGTGCCTAAAGTAGTCAGTTAATTTCTTGTATTTTTTATTATGTAATTTTGTTTTTCCTAATTAACTTTTATCAATTTAGGGTTGCCCGTTACGGCAGGAGTGTTTTTATAAATAAAAAATGTTATTGATGTATATATTTTTTTTTTGTTTTGTTAAATAAATATATTATTAGATAGCTGACCCCGCGAACTTCGTTTCGCTTTAATGTATTTTTAAGAACTAAATATTTCAATGTTTTTAAATATATTTTCCAATTTTTCTCTCCATAAAAACCTTCTTAAGAGTTCAAGAATTAAATAAAAAAATACTCTAATTAGTCCATATTTTGCGATTCATTTTTAATTAAATTTATTTTTAATTGATATTGGCCTTTCATATGCATCAAAAATATTCTTATTCGATCAATGCTCTGTCAGAGAAATAAAACAGTATTTTTTAATTTAATGTAGGCTAGATTTTTGTGGCCAAAGATTCATTTATAATTTTGTGTGTTTCTCACAGAAACACACAAAATAATAATCAAAAAATTAAAAATTATGGAAAGAAAAAAAAGAATAAGGACCATTTTAAGTGGGTATTGTGTGTGCGCTGTGGTTGTAAGTGGCCCTGGCTCAGCATTATCCTGTGGAGCAGACGTGTTCCACAGCGCTGGTCATTCTGCCAGAGACCACAACAGTTGGTGTACGCCTCAGACGCAATAAAAGAAGATTGTATTAATAATAATAGTGGAAAAAAAGTAATAGTAAAAATTTACAAATGTAAAAAAAATTGTTACTAAAACTACTATAAGAAATAGATAAATAAATATTTTTCTTTATCATTACAGCTTTGGCTTTCTTCTTCGCTACAAGAGATCTGAGCTCCAGACTTTCTACACCTTGCCTTTTTCAACTCTCGTTTGGACTTGTCTAATTTGGACTTTATTTTTGAGCGCATCTGTTTTCTATTTGCTAAGCTATTGGGAGAAACGGCTGCTTGGTGGAGAATGTTGTCTTCATCATGAAATTCTATTGGCGTTTTCTGCTTATTGTCAACATAGTAAGTAAACATATACATCCTTTTAGGTTTGTCAGCTTTGTATATGTTTATAAAAAATTAATTATTATTATTAGTAAGCCTTTATTGCTGACACTCAGTATAATATATTAACACTTATTTAAGTTAAATAACCTAACTTATAGGCCGGGAGATAGTGACACAAAATAGTTAGTCATTTGTACCAGTATGGCGGTTCTACAGGGGTCTTATTGCGAAATTAAAAAAATAATTTTGATGGTCATAGCGCTGGCACCGGCGGCCCAAGCGTGGGGGCGCTAGTCGAACTCGTCCGATTATTTACGACTTTTAAACGATTTGTTCCACAAAAATTCTAATATTTTCTGATAGTCCATAAAAAAATAAGAGGCGTCAGTGTCATGCTATACTTCTACGGTGTGAGTTACAGCCCGCCATACCGACGCGAATGCGATGATTTAAAAAAAAATCAACCATTTGTACCAGGCTATTTTTTTCACATTGATAAAATGTGAACGTTATTATATTTGCCATACTTGTAGTAGGAGGAAAAAGTGCTGCCATACTTGAAAAACTTATTTTCTTAACTTAATTTAATTAAACTTAACTAACTTTGGCATGTTCTCAACTTTAAAAGATGTTTCTGAGAAATATTTAATATTAGAATTAAATTCCGTCCCTATGAAAATAAGGGACATATTTTAAAGTGGCTTTTAATTTATGAACGACGTCCGTGACTAAGATGGTAAATTCTTTGTTTATTAATCCAACTCGAGTTTTTGTCGAGTAACAATTATTTTGATGGCCACTATCATTAAAGAAGAATCTAGAGAAAGGACTAAATCTTTCTAATTTTCAAATGTTACCACGGCATAAGTCTGTCGAATTTTTTTCAAAAAACCTTTAATGTGACACGATTCACAAATTGTCGCTTACTTAAGAACACTTGTAGAACGTAGATTGTATTTTAATGGCTATTCAACATATTACGACAATTTATTTTCAGTTCTGCCCCTTCAGGCAAATCTTTCATCGCGTCGCATGGCGTACTTAATTTTCATTTTGAGTGCATACGTCATACATTGTTTTTATACATCGAACCTGCTCTCTCATTTAGTGAACGATAAGGATAGAAGATTGAATTTAGAGGACTTAGCAAATACCGATTATGAGTTTGTGATAATTAAAGACATGAATCTGATAACCGAAAAGCATGTAAGTAAACTGATGGAATTATATTCCAGAGAGAACTTTATACATATAGACTATGTATTAACAGTATTTGTAAAGTTCTCAGCTTGACCAATTTTTAAATTAAAAGTCTGTGTGTATTTTTTCATTTAAAGTTTGTACATACACATACTGTCGGTATTTTTTATTCATATCTAGAAGGATGGACCACACCAATTTATTAAAATATTTTGGCAATACGTTATTAGCAATGGCCGCTGAATCAGCTAGTATTGAAGTATACATTTTAACAGATTAAATCGAGTTTATTACACAAATCCATTAAATTGTAATTTGTAAATAAACAATAATATGCAATTAATTAAATTTTAAAGGTTTTATTTGACGTTAACATAAATTTGCATAATATACAAGTACCAGTTTCATACGTTTAGGATTAAGTCCCGTACTATATAATAATTGGTTGTTTTAAAGTCGACTAAGTCACTGTAATTCTACCAATAAATTTATTTCACAGATTCAACAAGTGTCTATAGACAAATATCTCAGAACTGTAGAGGAAAAAATATATAAATCTAAAGTAATGGATGTCTACTCCGCCCTTGAAGCAGTGAGGGACACAAAAACTGCCGTACTCACAGATTATGTTACAATTTACCCCGTCGCTAAGAGATGTAAATATTTCTTACATAATAACGGAAAATCGGATAACGGGAGTTATCGTTAACGTACCTATACCGGATCATGTTCAACTCAATCGAATCGAATTACGGAAGTCCACGTGTGTATTATTTATAAATTTGATTTGCGCCTCTCACATCGTGAATTCTTATCGTGAGAAAACTCGTGAATTACGGCACCCTTTTTCTTTCTGTCTGAGCAATTAAGACTTTCTCTAAATGCAAACATTACCCGGAAACATCGACATATGTCTGGTATAGAAGGCAGATCAGAAAACATAAAAGAAATGTTTGCAATCTAAGACAAATATAGAGTTTGCGCACTAGATAATTTATTCTTAATACTCACAGACTTCCATTAAGTCGTATGAGAGTGAACTGAAATTTTTGACTATATCAGCATATAAATATAGCAATTATAAGTGGTTAATTTATATTTTTTTAATTTATTTTAATTCCCTTGGTCCGTGGGGTCCTAGCGCTATAAGGTTTTTTTTAAGGAAATAGCAAAAGGGTTAGTCGACATCACAGGAGATCGAAGAGCTGGCAGCTACCTCGGACAAAGGTTTAGTCTAGCTATTCAAAGGGGGAACGCTGCCAGTATCTTCGGAACCTTGCCTAAAGGGACTCCTTTTAAAAATATTTTATTTATTTTAATGTTAGTTATTGTTTTTTTTTATAGATTTTGTTTTTATATCTAATTGAATTTAATATTTATTAATATATTTAATGTAATATAACTAAGCTATTATAATTGATTTATTTAAAAATTATTATATTCGGATTATTAGGTTTATACTATCAAAATAACGTTCCTATCATTTATATTAAAATCTGGACAAACAATATCAAAGACGACTTACGAGCTTTTGGTAATTATTATAAGAGTTGCAATTTCCTGACTATCACGTAACTTGTATGTGTCAATGTTTAATAATTACTTGAACTGATGCCCGATAAAAACCCAATATTAAAATTTTTCGTAATTGCGTCCGAAACCGCTGTTGAAAATACGTGGTACAGCGAGTTGTTTGACGCCACACAAAAAAATCAAGAGACAGAATTACGTAAGCTGGGTTATAACATTATTTGGGCCTTGACTTATGTCTGTCACTGTATTAATACGAAAATAGTGCTTAAAATCACCTGCCTTTTGCACACATAACACCTATATACCCTCGTCAGATTATGAACATTCCTATTCTTACCTTCCACATTCGAAATGTATACTGTTTTTCTCGTATATTTTATTGCGACTTTATCGCAAGTTCTAATAGGTACATAAAATTAAGTAATCCCGTGAATTAACAAAAATTAAAATCTTTATCTGATTTTAAAACAAATTTATTGAACTTAAAATTGGTGTACTTAATTAATTATGTAAATTTTTTTTTTAAATCTATGTGTATTTGCAACTTCGATTTTGTTCCCTTTGGACTCTTGAGCCGTGGGGTTCAAGTGCACAGGCGCTAATTAAAAGTTGAAGTTGGCGCCTGGTAGATAGTGCCGGTGACCCCAGAGCTGGTGCTTTGCTCGCTCAACGAATAAGTATCGTAATACAGCGAGGAAATGCTGCTAGCGTTAAAGGTACACTGTCAGAGGGACCAAACTTTTAAGCTTATTATTCCTATTTAGGTTTAGAAAATGTAAATACTGTACTTATATATTTAAATAAATCATAATTATTTCATAATTTGTATTCTGTAATATTTTATTTAATTTTGTTGAACAGTATTCGATAATCATGCACAATGCGAACTTATAGAAGTGAACCTGTATTCGAAAGTGAAGAAATATATGTTTACGTCTAAAACATTCCCGCTAACGGAGCAATTCAAAGTCATGTAAGTTTTGTCTAATACTTTATTACAATGTAAAAAAATTTGGTCTGTAAAGTTGCTTTACGGGCGATAGTTTAACGTGCCAACGTCATAAGAAAACATTTATAAATTAATTGCATACTTTTATGAATAAAATATATATTTTTTTGAATTATCACTATGTTGTATGGATAGAAGAAGAGAAGAGTGAATCCTCGGACGAACACATCGAGTACCGTACGAACGAGGTAAAGTTCATTGGTGCACAGCTGGGTTTCGAACCTAAGACCTCAGATGAGAGTCGCAAGCTATAGCGACTAGGCCAACACTGCTCATACGCATATTTAAAATAATCGAATGGAAATAAATGTATATAATTTTATTTTTTAGAACGCTGCGCCTTAAAGAAGCCGGTCTCCTTACAAGGACCTTAAAATGTGATCGCTTGATTAAATCGTGCAATAATATAGTAAATCAAGAGCAGGCGGGCCTGTCCCGCATCTCTACCCCTATGATCTTGTTAGCAGGGTCTTATGTATTGGCTTTGTTAATTCTGATTGGGGAGAAAATTCATTTCGAATTTTGTCATTTATGGCCATATATTGAGTGAAGAGAATTGTGGTTCATAATCCTTCTTTCCTCGTCAACCGTTCTTGTCTTTTTGTGAAATAAACGTTAGACATTAATTATGTGTTTTTTTATTCCGCGCATCAAAGTTTTTCAGTGTTCGTCTGATTCATTAAACGACATATTGTTAGGAATTATTTCTGTTAGTTTATTTAATGCAGGCTACATAGCATCATCATTCTAAGTATTGATAAGGATTGAAACATATGACTTTGCTCCACGGCACTATAAACCACCAATGTGCCGTTTTTTTCATGTGAAACAAAGTAGAATAACATATCTTTTTTATAAAAATCGTACCACATTTTTTTCAAATCGCAATTAGCTTTGGAACAAAATAATTAATTCAATGAATAATTTCTTTTAAAACTACGGAAAACAGGTAAGTCTAATTAATTATACTTACACTTAGTTTAACCCAACTCCTTCCGTTTTAATGATATGTTCTTGAGAACTACAACTTGTATAACACAAATTTTAGTGTTTCTATTGAATTCAGTTTTAGAACTTTCACTAAAATAACAACTTTCACTGGTGCTGTTCATAAGTAATTGTATTGGTATTCTACTTTTATGTGTAACCTGTATACAATTTAAAAGTAATTTTTACCTTCACAACAGCTGCCGAAGAGCTTACGAGGAGATGTTCCGGAATGATGCCAGCTGACCCGTATCCGCTCCTTCTCTTGCGCATCTCGCAAGTGCAAACCTGGATTCGCCAAAGATTCACAGCATTAGTAATGAAGCTACTTCTAAACCTGAAGAGAACTAATCTCAAAATAATGATAGTGACAATCGAGGGCCACGGCAGACAGTCCCTCGTGCAGAGGCTGTTTCAGCGCAGAGGAATCAGTCACCCACGTAGTCCTGGAATTCATGACTATATCCCAACGAACAGAAATCCTCGGAGCAGTGAGGTCGCTCCGTGAAGCCAGCGAAGTGCCCCGAAAACTTCTGAGTTTCTGGAAGGTGCTAGGCTGGCTTAAATTGCCAGGATTTTACGCACAACGGACAAATAAGCGTAAGTGGTAATTGAGTCCACACTAGTACTACCTTCCAACAGCAGCGATACCTGCAATTCTCGATAGCAATTCCGTCTTCTTATTAGGTTCTTGTTGCAAAGGTTGCGATACCAGCGCTACGGATATTGAGAAAACTAAATGAAATTATAATGCAGTTCCATAGCGACCATTATTGGAAGTGACAGAGTATGGGCATTAGTTCCGTCTTCAAGACTAGTGTGTGAGTGTGATCTGATCGAAAAATAATAAATCGTAAACTTACAACTATGCCTCGTTATAAAATATATTTGAAATATAGAATTATAAGACATATAATACTCTTTTTTCTTTATAATAAAAATAATTATTAATTTTCAAGAATGTGGTACAAAATGTTATGGTGGTACAATATAAAGTTCGCATATTCACCATACATAATAACGTGCAATTTTTTCTTGAACGGTAGAGTTTTAAATAAAAGTTACATTACAGTCAATTATATTTTTTATCAAATTATTATTCCATTTCAAATTAATATTAATTATAATTTATCACGCAAATCATCATTTATAGAATAGTACACTTTTTCCAAAGCACATTTAAATTTATTTTAAATTCTAGTAGGAAGGAATCTTTGAATGTTTTTGGTTAATTATTATAAACCTTGATTGCCATACAAAAGGTATTTTTTCTATACTATTCAAGATAAATTTGATTAAATATAGTTGAAGCAAACATCTTACAGTCCCTCCATCGCTCATTTTCAAGTAGAAATCATAAAATGTAATAAAATGGGTTTAAAAGACTAAAAATTGTTGTTTGTTTGAATCAACAACGCCCACGTCAGCTTCTAATCTGATTATGTTTTCAATCTTTGAAGTATTTTTGAATTCATTTGATATAAAGTTAATACAACTGTATTTCAAATATAGGTATATAGATTTAGGAACTATTTTTGGAAATAACAATTACGTAGACTAAATAGACTTAGACACCTATCTGATTTAATTTTTATAGTATGAAATTAAAGTGGATTTATTATTATATCTTAATAAAAATAAAAAAAATCAATGGCACTACAACCTTTTTAGGTCTGGGCCTTAGATTTCTGTATCTGTTTCATCATTTGTTAATCTAATTGGCAAGTAGGTGATCAGCCTCGACTTTTTGAGTCTAAGGCAAGCCGGTTTTCTCACAATGTTTTCCTTCACCGTTCGAGCGAATGTTAAATGCGCACATAGAAAGTCCATTGGTGCACGCCGGGGATCGAACCTACGACCTCAGGGATGAGAGTCGTACGCTAAAGCCTAAAATATAAAAATAAAATTAATTTAATAAAAAGTCCCTGTCCCTTTAATGCTGACAGCGTTTCGTGGCAGTGATGCAATACTTATTCGTTGAGCGAGGAAAGCACCATCTCTGGGATCACCATTACCATCTACCATGCGCCAACTGCGGGTTCCACATAGTGGTGGTGGTATTAATCCGAACTATCCGAACTAATAGGACTTCTTTTAATTCTTTCTCTGTATCAAGATTACCATTAATATGAATTTCACAACTAGCATGAACTTATGAAAAGTCCATATATTCCAAAGCTTTCACGAATGCTCTAATTAAATGGTATACATAATTTCAATGACAACTTCCTGTCTGTCAGTTCCTGAAAGCACCTTGTTATAGTTTCAAACGCTTCATTATATTATATAATTTATAAACTAGTTCAGTTATCGCATATAAATCAATTATAATAAACTCATGAGTGAATTGTTACCCATGGAGCATATTGTACAATTTGTCAGTGAAGGTCACCAGTAAATCATCATAAAGCATCAGACGTGTCTATGAATCCTAAACCATATGATAGATATAAACATAGATAATAATAAAAATATTGCATTTTACAGGTTTATATGATACAGGTACTGACGATCTTTGTGACAGGCTAGTGGCTATAATACTACTATAGAAGTCCTGTGGTAACAGCTGACCAGCTTTCCATCGCGGAAACAGAGAAACAGATACAGAGAGATATAATCATACTATATACTATGACTAAACTAAAATAAGAAACAAAAGAAAATAAAGATGACAGCAAAACAACAAAACAAGACAGAGCTCAGAATACAAAACCCTCCGTATCATCACGATATCCGTCGTTCCGCACTAAGCGTTTCTGAAGGCAGTTTTTGTCGCGCACCACCCCTATATGGAACCAAGAAAAGAGCGTACTAAAAAGCCAGGCCCATGGGTCACGGTATCACTTCACATTAGGTGAGCCTCCTGCCCGTTTGCTCTATAAAGAAAAAAAATACTTCTTTAACCGAACAGTGTTGCAACACAATTGCTTTAGAAAGGTCTCCGTACCCACGTAGATTGAAGAGCCTCAGGCCAGAGGCCGCACTGTGCAGTGCGGCACCTGGGGATGTCGACAGCGAAGAGGTGAAACTCCACCAGGCTTCAAGATGAGCGTTGAGTAAAAGGGGATGACGGAATCACATTGTGTAGTTACATGGAGCATTCTCCGGAGTGCAATCTATAGAAGACTGAAAGGCGAGCAACTGAACGGTGATGGTCAAGACTCATGAGTTGAGATTTAACGAGTGAATTAAAATCCTCGCTCCAACTGGAAATCCACCCTGTCACGGTCCCCATACAAACCACTTAACCACAAGGAAATACAAGCCTGTCATATTGAAATTTCTTTGTTACTATTTTTCTTTTTTAATAATACCTGATCTATTTAAAACATATAATTTTACAATTACGGTAAATTACAGGGAAGGTAGAACTCCATTTGAAAACATTCTTAATTTAAAATGCATGACACACCTCTTTTATTGACACTTGATTTTTGATTGGCGTTTAGTATGATAAGGGTCAGGGTAGACTAACGTTTTTAAATATGCTAAATTGCCTGATCGCCCTATTTATTAAAAAAAAGAGTGATTAGTGCTTTCATATTATTTTGATTTTAATGTCTAGTTTCGTCGGTCAAATAAGTACAGCAATTACTGTTTCATTGATAACTGGATCGATTTTCACTTATAATACCACAAGAGCTTCAAAATTGAAGCTCGCTGCTTGAAGCAACTACCAGAGAAAATTTTCAAAAAATTATCAGTATAATACCATGTAGGTTGTACCACGTGACGTCGAATGGTGCAATTCTATTGGTCGACATTTGGGTCGGAAAAATAATCACATAAATCTAAATTCAAAACAGGTTGGTCGCTGTCAGACTTTCGGCGTTCAGACGTTTGAACAAAAACAGTATAAGTATACGCACGTTGTACTAAGTACGCATTGCCAACATAAAGGAATATCAACAGATTCAAAGCAGCAGAACTAGCAAGACTATCTTTCGCTCAAAGCTGGATGCATTTAGAATTCTAGGATCCATTCCAATGAGCTATACACTAGCAGGCGTTTACTACCTTTGTAGTATTGAATATCGATTGATTGTCTCGGCAATCCCACTAAACAATCTAATTTAATATAAAATGTACTGCTTGTGAGATAAATTGTGTTTCCATGCGATGACCAAGTCATCATCATCATCATCATCAATGGCTATACAGCCCCTTGTGGGCCTTAGCCTCCTCAAGTATACTTCGCCATCGTAATCTATCCAGTGCTTCCCGCGTTTCGAGGTCTTTGACAACTTCACGCAACGCAGCCTCGGTCTATCGGGTTTTCTCTTGCCCCCGGATTGAAAGTTCAGTAAGGACTTTGGGGGCCAAGTTGCAAGTCACAACAACACAAGATTTATAATATATATATTATGGTCAGTATAAGATGTTGTTAGGTTAACTAATTACGTAATAATTTAAGACAGAAGGTTCTGACCTTAACTAGGGACCGAATTAACTGACTTGGTATTACATGAATCTCACAACTTTTTACAGTAGAAGAACTGCGTTGTGAGAATTGTTTTTTTACTAGTTATGTTTTTGATGGCATATTATTGGACAATGCGATTT